GTCGAGTTGCAGAGCAGCCGAGGCGTCGGCGGCGAACCTGTTGTTTATGTATCTACGTATGTATGTATGTATGTATGTATGTATGTATGTATGTATGTATGTATTCACGTCATAGGGCACATCCGCGTAATTGAGGCTTTCCTGTACCCTGGAGTCGTTAATATAAAACAGACGATCCGTTGGGTCAGCAGATCGACTCAGGCTCTGATGTCACTAAAATGCGCTTTAGTAAGCTAAGTGCCTACCGTGTTGCAGAGGGCCGAGGTGACGGCGGCGCACCTGGCGCCTGTAAGTTGCAGAGTAGCCGAGGCGTCGGCGGCGGGCCTGATGCGTGTGCATGGGTTGCAGATTAGCCGAGGCGCCGGTGGCGGACCCGATGTGTGCAGGGGTTACAGTGCAGCCCAGGCGTCGGCGGCGGGCCCGATGTATGTGCATGAGTTGCAGAGTAGCTGAGGCGTCGGCGGCGGTCCTGATGTACTTACGTGCAAGGGTTGCAGCGTAGCCGAGGCGTCAGTGGCGGACCTGATGCGTGTGCGTGAGTTGCAGAGTAGCCGAGGCGTCGGCGGCGGACCTGATGCATGTGCGTGAGTTGCAGAGTAGCCGAGGCGTCGGCGGCGGACCTGATGCATGTGCAGTTGCAGAGTAGCCGAGGCGTCGGCGGCGGACCTGATGTATGTGCCGTTGCAGAGTAACCGAGGCGTCGGGGGCGGACCTGATGCATGTGTGTGAGTTGCAGAGTAGCCGAGGCGTCGGCGGCGGACCTCATGTACGTGCGAACATGGGTGGAGAATTGTTTTCAAAGTTGGTATGGCGCCAGTTGCTTGAAACAATACTATCGTGTTTTATTCTTATCAAACTGAAATCCTTAAATTTCGTAGCTTTTACCCTGAAAAGTTGGTATGGCATTGCCATACCATCATTTAAGTTGGTGTGGCGCGTGCCATGCCTGCCATACCATATTCTCGACCCATGCCGGTGCAGAGTTTATGGGGTGGCTGAGGCTATACGACGGCGGGCCTGATGTGTGTGCATGAGTAGCAGAGGAGCCGAGGCGTCGGCGGCGGACCTGATGCATGTGCATGAGTTGCAGAGTAGCCGAGGCGTCGGCGGCGGACCTGGGGCCGTATTCACGTCGATCATTTTCGTAAGAATTTTCTTAAGTTTGACCTATTTCTTAAGCAAATTTTTTTATTCACGTGAACTCCGTCGATAAAAACTTAAGAAGTGTCGACGTGAATACCAAATTATACTTACGAAAGAAAATCGACTTACGAAGTCGACGTGAATACGGCCCCTGATGTATGTGCGTGATTTGCAGAGTAGCCGAGGCGTCGGCGGCGGACCTGATGTATGTGCGTGATTTGCAGAGTGGCCGGGGCGTTGTCGGCGAACCTGATGTGTGTGCGTGGGTTGCAGAGTAGCCGAGGCGTCGGTGGCGGACCTGATGTATGTGCAGTGCAGAGTAGTGATGTCAACTACGGAAAATCGGAATACCGATACCAAACCAAGTACCAACCTAGGGTGCATTATACCAACAAATTACCGAACACATTAGGAATCAAATACCAAGTACCGAGTTGGTATCAGTATGGTATCGGTATACCGAAAAGTTGTATCCGAGGACATCTCTACTGCAGAGTAGCCGAGGCGTCGGCGGCGGACCTGATGCATGTGGGTGCCGAGGCGTCGGCGGCGGACCTGATGTATGTGCGGTGCAGAGTAGGACGTCGACTACGGAAAATCGGAATACCGATACCAAACCAAGTACCAACCTAGGGTACATTATACCAACAAAATACCGAACACATTAGGAATCAAATAGCAAGTACCGAGTTGGTATCAGTATGGTATCGGTATACCGAAAAGTTGTATCCGAGGACATCTCTACTGCAGAGTAGCCGAGGCGTCGGCGGCGGACCTGATGCATGTGGGTGCCGAGGCGTCGGCGGCGGACCTGATGTATGTGCGGTGCAGAGTAGGACGTCGACTACGGAAATCGGAATACCGATACAAAACCAAGTACCAACCTAGGGTGCATTATACCAACAAAATACCGAACACATTAGGAATCAAATAGCAAGTACCGAGTTGGTATCAGTATGGTATCGGTATACCGAAAAGTTATATCCGAGGACATCTCTACTGCAGAGTAGCCGAGGCGTCGGCGGCGGACCTGATGCGTGTGCGTGCCGAGGCGTCGGCGGCGGACCTGATGCATGTGCGTGCCGAGGCGTCGGCGGCGGACCTGATGTATGTGCGTGCCGAGGCGTCGGCGGCGGACCTGATGCATGTGCATGAGTATGTATGTGCGTGAGTTGCAGAGTAGCCGAGGCGTCGGCAGCGGGCTTGATGTATGTGCAGTGCGGAGTAGCCGGGGCGTCGGACGCATTGCAGTTGCAGAGTAGCCGAGGGGTCGGCGGCGGACCTGATGTGTGTGCATGAGTTGTAGGGTGGCCGGAACCAGGTGTTTTGTGTGTATCGCGTCGCAGGTTGGGGTGCCGCGTTGCACGACCCTTCAAAGCGTGCCTACCAGGCTCCCCGGTTTCCTTTACGATTGTGTGTGCGCTTAATATGCCTCTGAATAGATGCGCGTCAGTCGCCGGGGAACCATCCTCATGGTGGCGCCGCGTCAGTCGCCGGGCAACCATCCTCGTGGTGTCGCCAATAGATGCGCGTCAGTCGCCGGGGAACCATCCTCATGGTGGCGCCGCGTCAGTCGCCGGGCAACCATCCTCGTGGTGTCGCCGCCAAGGAACCGCACTCCGCTGTACGTACCCCCGAGCCGTGCTCGATACGCCTCACCTGCCGTGCCGGCGTTAGTGTGCCTGACCATAGAATCCTTGTAGCCGTTGGTACTCCCCACAGCTTCCCTGGCTCCCTTCTCGCCCACTCTCCGCTCCACTCGCCGTCCGTCGCAGTCGACGACTGCCGTTCGCGCCTCTCGGCTCTGCTGCCAGCGGCGCGCCCGTTCCTACATTCCCCTTCGCACCACCCCTAGTCAGGGTCTGCCCCGCGTCCGTCGGCGGGGTGATTTATCTGTCTCCGACCCCCGTCTCCCTTTGCTCCGGTCACGTTCAGTGGCGCCCGGGCAGGGTCCTAACCTTCCATAGCCGCGTCGCCGCTATGAGTTGATAGCTGGTAAACTAGCTGACCGATGGACCGGCCTGGCTGATGGACTAACTGGTGGTCTGATGGTGCAACGTGATTGAAGCGGCTAGGAGAGACGGCGTGAGCTGTACTGTAGTTATCATGACAACGCCTAGAAACAATCCTGCAAGCGGCCCATAAGAACCCGGCACCGCGACTGTTGGCCTTCGCCTGGCCGGTTTTGGGCCGGTTTGTTTACGGATGTGACTTGCATGGTGTTATGCAGATTTTCTGGCAGTGATCCCCTGAATACCTGGCCTTTTATTTTCGACGGCGCTGAACCGCGGTGGCTTTTACGGTGGTCCTGATTAATTTTATGACGTGGGATTACCACTGAGAACGAGGAAAAAACTCGTTGCTTTTCCGCTATCAGCTGGCGATCTCTGGCCCATCAGGCGGTGCGCCGGCGCGCCCTGTCGTGTTTCACGCTCAGCAAATGTCGGCTACTCGCTGTCGGCCGCTCTGAACCATTACATCATCGTACGTCATTGGGGCTACTGTAGCACGGGAGGTGTGTGCCGCGAGCGGCAATGTCGACCGGGTTCACAGGCAGTAACACCATGAATACCATGTGCAAAGGACAAAATACCATTTGCAAAACACAAAACACCATGCGCACCGATGCGTTTCGGTCGAATGGAATGCTGACTGTATCAGTCGCCTGGTGACGATGCACACGTTGCATCGGTCACTGGCTGGTTACCACCGGTTGTTGAACCACCGGCGCCTCTGCATCCCGGACGGGCCGGCGCGGGGCGGCGTCTCCTGACCAGTCATCCGACGCCCGACCAGTTCTGTCACGCTCCACCGCCGTCCCCTCCCTCCCCTCCTCAGCAGCCCCCCCCCCTCCCTCTCCTCTACTCAGCAGCCGCCGTAGACCGACGAAGCATGGTGGTTCTCCCAGCTGCAGAGGACGCCTGAGGTGGTCGGCAGGGGAATGCTAGCCGTGTCCGGCCTGTCAGTGGTGTGCGGTCTGGCTCACCCCACACCATCCCCCACTCTCCACTGCCCTGTGGCTGTCATCTGACCGTCTGTCGGACTGTGCCTGTCTGCGCCTGTTCATCTGTCCGTCCGTCCGTCCGTCCGTCGACTTATTGATACCTGTGGCGATCTACCCATCTACAACCTCCACAACAGTTTGTCCCATCATTCTGGCATTGTGACCTTACCTCGAGCTAACTCCTCGAGCTGATTTAAAACACGCTCCAAACCTCCTGTGAGCTGGCTTCAGTTCTGGCTCTCCGAGCGATAAAATCCGTTCCTGCAATGCCCGGCGAGACGGGAGGACAAGTTTTGCCGGGTCAGATTGTCGGTGATTGGTAGGCACACGTGCACTATGCGGCTTGGTGACCTTTCGGAGCGACTCCAAAATCTGGTTTGGTGGAACAGGCAGGTCCGTTAGTGTGCGCGCATTCCGTCATCTTGCGTTTGCTATATTTGCCGACGGGCCGAGATGGAATGCTGACTGCTGATCAATCAGAATGAAATGATAGATGCTGGCTTGTTGTGGCTCAGATGTTATTGTCGATTGTGTTCATTGTTTTTCGACTGGTTTTGCAGCTGCGTATGTTTGTGACGACAGACTGTAGCACAAACGTCACAACGAGGTGTCAGCTCACACTCGGCTGGATGACACAGAATGATGGGTTCTAGGGCCGTCTGGGAATTGATTGATGGATGAATGAATGGGTGAAGACGAGTGAATGAATGAATGAATGAATGAATGAAAGAATATATGAACGAATGAAAGACGTGTGTTTCGTTTGTCTGGTCTTTTTCCATTTGTTTTCACGATTGATCGGTATCGTCTGGTCTGTGCCCCAAATCTGACCGACGCCTTCTGTCTCCCCCAGGGTCCTCTGACGTCGAGTGCCCGGCCGGCCGAGCGGCCCTCACCCACCTCTCCAACCCTCCCGGTGACCCCGGGCGTGCCGGCGGGCACTCCCGCCGGCACTCCCGGCACTCCGTCGGGCCAGCGCAGCACTCCTTGGCAGCACGGCTCGCTCGGGTTCAACTCAGAGGGTGAGTGCCGCGCATCGCACGCAATCTGACCGTAAATTGCATATTAACAGGCCGTCAGCACGCGATGTGTCTGCTGTTCTCAGCCGCTGGCTGCAGTTAGCTGCCCCTACAGCTGACTGTCTCGGGCTCCGCTCCCTACCCCTGTCGGCCGCTGCCAGAACCCATTATCATCTAAATGGCCAGACAGTGCTCGCCCGGAGTGCAGCGCCGCTGCCGGCGCGTTCTCCGGCTCCCATGCATTCCGGTGCGTTGGTTTTATCGACCCGTTATCCCTCGATTGCCGTACGTGATTGACAGCTCAGGGAGCCGAGATAGACACTCTAACGAGCTCGGGACGCCGCCGGCCGGCCGCCCCTGCTCCGATAATGACGCCATCTCGCCCAGTCGGCACCCGCCCCCGGCTGCAATCAGCGCTGTGAGTGTATGCACGGCGGGCCGCCCTGTCGGCATCTGCCCTATGTGGGCCGGTGTGCAGAAGAAAGCGGAACAGTGCCGGCCGCCCGTGCGGGGCCGGTCCGGAAATGGCCGCCAGCTGCCCAGACCGTTGTTCCTAGCTAAGTCGGTGAGATAATGTCGCGTGGGGATTAACACCGTCGCGGTGGCGAATTTCTTCCTCGTGCCGCCTAACCGGCCGGACGGAGGCGATGCTATCGTGCCAGCTCTGTCCACGCGGCCTGTGGCGTGCCGAAAGGTCGCTGGGCCGGTCGAGGTGATACCTTGTCTCACCCAGCCGCCAGGCAGCTGTGACGTCTGTTGTAAAAGCGATACTTTGGTGGAAACAACATATTGATTAATGACCTCACGCCACTTGTCATTCTGGATCTCCAGATTATTCAAATCCTTATCGCGCCGCCTTTCTAAGCCACTCTATTTCACATGCTCCATAGGTGGGCTTAGAAAGCGGCCTCTCCACATCCATCGTTTCCTACAAGTCGCCCGCTTTCTTCGCGCCTCTCTCCCTCACTCTCTTCCTCTCCCTCTGTTTATCTCTCCTTTCTTACGTTGTTATTGTATCGGCCGCCGGTCTGAAGACACGCCCCTCCAACCAGCGCTCTCCGGTCTTTTCCGACTCTCTCTTCAATCTCCTCTCTTCCCTCTCTCTCGCTCTATCCCACCTATCCCACCTGGCCAGATTCCTCAGCTCGCGAAGATCGAGAGCATCTCCGGAGCGCCTTGGGCGGAGGTGTCTCGCTGGGCTCACCGAACCCGCCCCTCCCTCCCCCTCCCCTCCCCGATCAGCCGACTGGACCTAGCGGCGGACCCGGGTCTTCCCTGTCTGCCCCGCCCCAGCGCGGCCCGATCATACCGATACCTGACACCGTCACGCCGCCCGCCGTCTTGTCTCAACCGCACCCGGCAAGGGCACAGCCGACGACGTTCCAACTTCCAATCACTGCCACCGTCGCGTCGGGGATGCTGGGCGCCGCTGAGTTGCTGACCGCGGCGCTGACCGCTGAGAGGAGCTCAGTGCTGGGTGCTGACCGCTGGGCGCTGGTCAGTGGCCGGCTGGGTCGCCCGGTCCCGGCTCCCGGTCCACCGGTCCCGGCTCCCGGTCCACCGGGCGCTCCTCTCGGGCTGCCAGCGGCCCGGCCTGCATTGGTAGGCGGAGGCCGTTCACCCGGCGCTCGGCCGACCACGCTGCACTGTTTACCATGCACGGCCGGCGCGGCAGACGGCGGCTCCCTGAGCTACCGAGCTCCGACCCTGTGGGGTGGGGTGAGAAGGAGAGAGAGAGAGAGAGAGAGAGAGAGAGAGAGAGAGAGAGAGAGAGAGAGAGAGAGAGGGAGGGAGGGAGGGGAAGGGGAAATGGGGTGCAGATTGGAAACGGTTGATGAGAGTTGGGGTCAGACAAGGGCAGAGGGCAGGTGAAGATTGGTTCCTATGACCTCTGTAATCGCCGGGCGGGGGACCACCAGGGATGCGGTGGATTGGGTACGGGGAGGTGGGAGGGGGGGGGGGGGCGTAGCGCCGGAGTGGAACTGGACCTGTGCTCCTCGAGTTCAGACTCTGACGGCGCCGCGGAAAGCCCGACATTCCGGCCGGGTGGGGTGCTGATGGATGGGAAGGGGCGGGCGGCGGGCCGGGCGGCCGACCCTCTGTAAGGTAATGGTGCCCCACCGTGCCCCATTAGTTACGCGGTCGGCGCCGAGACAGGCCGGCGGCCGAGCACCTACATTTACCCGGTAAGTCGGCCGGCCGGCGCATCGTAATTTGGCTGGCTGGTCCGACCAGTCAACAGCTTCCCAGTGCGGTCTCCGCTGGACCTAATGTTACCGCGGACCGGCCTGACTGCGGACCGTGCTACATAGGGTCCGGGACCGAACGCGGTCACCGGCCCGGTCCGGCGGCGATGGTCCACGTGTGGTCCCCGCGTGTCGGTCCGGCGGTCCGTGAGGGTGCGTATTATTTAGGCCAGGGTTCATAATGTCCAGGGCACAATGTGTCCAGTGCTCGAATTGGCCAGTGCCTTGAATTGGCCAGTGTTCACATTGTCCAGGGATTACATGGTCCAAAAGTGGCCAACTGGCTGCAGATAGGGTAAATTCAAAGAGGCCAGGGTTCATAATGTCCAGGGCACGATGTGTCCAGTGTTCAAAATGGCCGGGGTTCATAATGTCCAGGGCACGATGTGTCCAGTGTTCGAAATGGCCAGGGTTCATAATGTCCAGGGTACGATGTGTCCAGTGTTCAAAATGGCCAGTGCCTTGAATGGGCCAGAGTTCATAGTGTCCAGGGATGAACTCAACCCAACCCAACCCAACCAAACCTAACCTAACCTAACCTAACCTAACCTAACCTAACCTAACCTAACCTAACCTAACCTAACCTAACCTAAGGTAATGATGTTTGCCTACCAGGGATAAGGAAATAGTTTCTCGCATGAATAGATTGCAAGCAATAGTAAATCAAATATTTTTAGGTTAAGTGGTTATGCATCAGGCTTCAGGCCTTCGGCCTGAAGCCAGATACATAACCACTTAACCTAAAAATATTTGATTTACTATTGCCTGTAATCTCTCCTAAGGCATTGCCTTCGGCACTGCACTGCTTTGCATTGAGCTGATTCCGTGTTTTTTACATAATGACGTCACTTTCAGTGACTATGTAATCCCTGGACATTATGAACTCTGGCCCATTCAAGGCACTGGCCATTTTGAACACTGGACACATCGTGCCCTGGACATTATGAACCCTGGCCATTTTGAATACTGGACACATCGTGCCCTGGACATTATGAACCCTGGCCATTTTGAATATACCCTATCTGCAGCCAGTTGGCCACATTTGGACCATGCAATCCCTGGACATTATGAACTCTGGCCCATTCAAGGCACTGGCCATTTTGACACTGGGCATAGCGTACCCTGGACATTATGAACCCTGGCCAGAATGAATGCTCCCCGTCCGTGACGGTCCCTCGGACAGGCCGGTAAAGGGACAAAAAGTCGGCAGCCCGGGGCGCCGTGACGGACCAATCAGATGGCCGGGGCGATGGAGTGTGAAATGGGTACCGCGGAACACGGGAACGGATAGAGGGGAAGAGACCGCGAGAGCAGATAACGACGGAATGTCACGGAATGGAGAGACCGGATAAAACGAGCTTTAGAGGAAACTGTGGGATAGAGATATAACCTTAAAAAAGGATCAGAAGCGGATTAACGACATTCCGGTGAAAGGGAAATTCGGCTGGAAATAACAGGTAAACAAAGGTGAACCCACGCCTTGTGCATTCCGGATAGCTCGCCTTATTTTCGGCTAAGCTTTTAAAACCAGCTCATTTTTCCTGTCGAGGGACTGCCGGGTCGCCAGATGACTGCGCCATGGCCTTGAGCCATTGTTGTGGGCGGAGACAATTGAGGCATCTGTTCTCAATGATGCGCCGCACCTGTAACCAAATCTCACTTCACTGAACGAGCTCGGCTTGTCTCTCCTACCGGCAATACCCACACGCTCACTGCTGACGTAAAGCACATCAAAGTAAGCGCGGCTGGTAAAGACGTGATACACCGCAGGCTATAACCGTCCACTTTCTCACCGGTCACTTTTACTCTGCGTGCGCTCACGACTGTCTGCCCCGGCTCGAGCTGCACCAAGCTGCGGGACGTTTTTCACACCTCCCGGCCCCGTGCGTGGCCATTTAATCGAGCCATCACGGCTGAGGGCACGTGCGCATTGTTCGTCGGCCAACTGAGCGCGGTTCAACGCCTCGGCCGGCCGCAGCGCGCCGTGAAGCGCGACCTCGTCCGGCACGCCTCGTCGGGCCGCCAACTGACGAGCCGACTTCACAGGAGAGCACCTGAAGACAGTGTGACGACGGAGTGGGGGCCATCGGGTGTGTCTAGCCCGGAAATACCGCCGTCTTTTATCGTTAATACCAATAGCCTCAGGCTGCCGCCCCCAGCAGTTTGCCGTAACCAGCCACCCCAGCTCCCTCGTCTCCGCGGCGCCGGCGGCCCCAGACGGCTCACCGACCGGCACCGGACCGGCTCCCTCCCCCGCTCGGCGGCACGGCACAGGGCGGACGGTCGGGTTCGCCGGGGACCTTGAGGCCCAATTTGGCGGCCGATCGCGCCGCTGACGAGTGGGAGTCGCCGGCTGGAGGTTCACACGCCACCGGGGCGGGACCGCTGGGCGCTGCCCGGCGGCGCAGCGGCGCTGGTGGTCCCTCAGCCCCAGGCGTTCGCGAGGGGCGGCCATGGGAGACATACGGGGCGAAATACAGGAAGGGGAGGTGTGGGAAGATGCCTTGAAGGTCGAGGAATTCAAAAGATGCACAATTCGGTACTGTGCTGCTCTGAACATTTCACATGTATAATTACCGGTAGGTGCCTGGCGCCTTGCCCTTCTTAGATCATGGACTCGTTCACATCGACGCCCCTCCTGCGTCCGGTGTTTCACCATCAACCAGCCCCTCATCCTGAGCCCGCACTGCATTATCTCCTTCCCTCTGCCGCCTTATCTCTTCTCTCGCCTCGTCCGGTGCCTCCTTTGTTTCGGAG